ATAGTAAACGGTTTTGCAGCTTAAACGGAAAAGCGTTAGTGTCCGTTTTCCCATGGAGGGTCACATATTGTAAGGAGAAAATTCTGTCTTGGTCACTCATGGAAGTTAAAGGGTTAAAAAAGCAAAAACCTGAATGAGCCCAAGTGATAAAGTAGCACTTACATGTGGAATGCAGGGCGTCAACTGGGGGAGGCATTTTTCTTCGCCTTTTGGATTCTGCACCAGGTCTGTTGGGATGTCTTGGGGGGAGAGTTGATTAGAAAGTAAAGATAGGACACAGTAAAAACTTCAGAACAAAAACAACTCAGTGCACATAGATACCAACATTAAGCTGATTCAACAATGCAGAAATCAAAAGAAAAGTAATTCTTTCTCTGTCAAATCAGCCTTATAGTTTCCTTCTATTTTCAACTCAAATAACATTCCCTACACAAACAGGATCAAAAACTTCTCATCTATCATAAAGATCTTTAGTGGAGACAAACACTCAGCCTTGAATTGTAATGCTGCAGGCATCACACTCCTGAGGGGTGAATGTTGGCCTCCTGCCTTAGAAAAAAATTGTAAAAAAATTATGTACTAGCTAAGATGTGTATTCCTTTATTCTGAAGGAGAATTTACACTTCTGGAAAGTGCTCGAAGCCAGCAAAAAGGGAATGAGGAGTAAATTATTTTTTAAAAGGATAGTCTATTTCATAGGTACTTCACTAAAGCAGCAGTTTGTTATTCAAAAATAACAGTTCAAACCAGAAGCCTTAAATGTACGAGAAACAACAGTTGCAGTGAAAGAGGGTGGGATTGAATTCCTTTGTGTGAGTTTCATGCTCAATTCCTAAAACTTGAGGGCCCTACAAGTACCAAGTAACATGGCTAAAACATATTTGAGGAAAAAAAAAACCTACCTTGTTTTGCAAAGTAATACTCTCCCTTTATGAGCAGGATCTGATCTACACTGAAGAGAATATAAAGAAGCCCACTGGTATACCTAGCAGAAAAAGAAAATAAATTGTGAAATAAACTGTTATTAATATACTTGACAAAATGTCTTGTTTCCAACTGGTCAATAATCCATTTTACATTTGCATTCTCGGTTGCCAAGCCTTTGAACAGGAGTGAGGCTAAAGAGTGACCTTGTTATGATACAAACATTGCCGCTTTTCAAATGTTAATTCCTTTGTTATCATGCTAACTAGATACTGGTCTCTATCATAACAAGGTCACCTTCAGCCACACTCCCAATGAAAGGCTTAGCAACTAAGTACACAGCTGTAAAATGGTGTATTGTGAATGAATAAATAGGTTATCAGGTGCAGTACAAATTTCCATATTGCACTCTTTTGAAATTTAACCCTTTACAGCCCTACATCAGTAGGAATAGTCTCCATACTGTTCTCTATACATTTCCTTAAAAACTGCATTTGTTTAACAAGCAAGAGCTTCCAATGACCTTTAAGGTAGTGTTACATTTGGGGGTGATATTGTCAGGAAAAATTAGATGCTAGTCACTCTCGTTGTAAGGAAAAATTAGAGGCTAGTCACTCTTACAAGTCAAAGGGTTATGCTTTTTAGCAATAACTAAAACATATCAATATGTAGAATACTGTCAAAAACACCAGGCACAGTTGTCTAAGTCACCTATATCTAAAAAATAGTGATAAATTCAAACAAGTATGCAGACGTTTTCCAAACTGCTGAAAGAGTTTCGAATTATGTGACTCAAGAAGGACAAAATAAAATATTCGAAAAATACACAGTATTGTATGAACTGACAAAATAATAATGTAATTTCACATCACAGCATTAGTTCATTGAATATTTACATTCCATTTATAAACATACCTGTGCCCTTTCCATCTTGTTTGAAGGAAAAACAGACAATCTATATTTCCAAAAGAATGAGAAAACAGTGTTAAAAAAATTTTACCAATAATTATATTTCCTTTACATCTATCAGTATATCACACTTGAATATGTGGGGTGCTCGTAAAATGATAGTGTAGGAGCCTTGAACATCACTGTGTGCACATCTTTATAATTATAACTCATTACATGTAAGTAATTGCATTACATACTGGACATGTTAAAAAACTCACTCCATCCATTTCTCATTCCGCATGAAGACTGCAATATTCCTGTTCAGCTCCCCCAGAGAAGTCTCCTAATGAGAGATGACAGGAATTTCAAATTCACTCATTGATATATTGATCAAAAACCATAACAAAGTCCCAGGAAGTGATTGTTTATCACCTGCCTAATATGATGTGTAAGCTCTGGTCAATTAAAGCATAAAATGGCCTTTTGTGTTGTTTTTTCATAAGACCCCAATTCTGTAGAGCCTTTATTAAGCAGTCCACCTGTATTAGGCAGCAAGCACACCATTCCCCATGGGTGACTGCTTAATACAGGTTCAACTGTATTCTGAAATGGAGGTTTCCTTTTTATTTCTCTGTCTTCATGTTTTTTTGGCTCTTGTTGTCTTGTTTAAAGCTAGGATTCATTTGAATTATGAAGATCCATTTGGGGCAAAGAGGGAAAATTGCCACAATAATTATAAAAGAAAGATAAAATTCACATCATTTTTGAATAAGCTCTTTTCTGCTGTAGTCTATATGTAACATAAGAATGAACATATAAATTATACACATTTTAGTTTTATATCATTCCATGTAACCCTTTAGCTCCCATGAGTGACCAAGACCAAACTTCTCCTTACAATATCAATACAATATCAAGCAGACAAGTGATGAGAATAAAGAAGAATCTTAATTAAGGGATTATAAGTTGATCCAATGCCAAATTCTCCAAACTAACATCACAAGAACTATATAGCGGACAGTAAGGAGAATTACTAATGAGATCTTGGGAGTTAAGGGGTTAAGAGCACTTTAAACAAGAACAAGACTCTATACCTGTCCAGGTGCCTTAGAATTTTTCTTTAATCTCCCTTGAAGACCTGTTGATCCAAAAAGCAAATTGTACGTTATCAGAGTCTGTAAGTGTTAGCCACATTTTGATACCTAAACCAGTCTCCTCCAGACAGCCCCTCATTTACTAAAATTAGCTTTGTAAATTAGATAAGCAGTAAAATACATGTCTTAATCTGAAACGAGTTTACCAGTACATGTTACCTTTGTTGATCAATGTTTTTTGTAACTAGCAACTAAAAAATCTCCAGAGAACATTGTTAACCCTTTAACTCCCAAGATTCAATTTTCAATTCTCCCCTCTAGCTACTACACATTTCCTTGTTAATTGATAATGAGAATTAGGTGTTCAATCAAGGTAATAAATTGTACCTAATGAGTTTGAGTATTTTCACTACCTGTTAGCTGTAAAGTATATGGATATTTAGGGCGTGAAATTGTGCCTAATACAGGCACTGTTGCAACAAAATTTTTCACTTGTTATTGGGAGAAGTTACACAGTAATCACTTACAGGAGTTAAAGGTTAAAACAGGAAGGGAGGAGTGGTGAAGGTAATGAGAACATTTTCTCTCTCAGACTCACAGTTCAGGTTTGATTCTAGGACTTGTCATCACATGCTAGCTGCATTTGTTGTTGGTTCTCCCCATTAGTCAGAAGGTTATTTTTTTTTCCCCCGAGTTCTCCACAAAATTAAAAAGAGTCTTTATATGCAAAGGAGATACCTTTGTTTACAAGTGGTACATGTATATGAGACATGAGCCCATATAAGTATTGAGCTGATTCTTAACATACCCAAGCCAAACTTTCCTTCTGCACCAGCCAAATAGGGCCTTCTGTATTCAGCCATGACTCCATTTACAATGTTCTGGAACTTTTCTTCTTCCATGTCACTAGCACCTTTCTCGTCCCACCACGGATTAATCCTTACGTCACATTCAAACGAGCTTTCCTCTTTTTCATCGTCTCCAAGTCGACCTTCATCGTTTGTGAAAAACCCCTCAAGATCACTCTCTCCAGAGGATTCATATGATTCAGTTTTACGCCGATCCGGTGCTATTATCATCATTCTTTCTTCGCCATCTTGAAGGTCTACCCACGACGATGCATGTGGCAAAGATTGGTCTTTAGGTTTGGCAAACTGAGCGTTAGCGTGCAATTTGGAAGGTAGCTTGTAGAAATGATTAGAGGAAATATTGGTCTCCATGGGTTCCCCACATCCACTACTCAAACCATTTTCAATATCAGCTAAGCTACCTTCTTCGTCGCGTCTTTTGAGACTGTTATGTATTTCGCTTCCCATGGCAGATTTTCCGCACACTTTGCGTTTCCTTGTCCTACTGAGAGATTTCAAATTATTTCCGAGTAAACCTAACGGAGAATCCCGATCGTTCAACGATTGAGCAGCCGAAACCCTTTTCAGTTTCCTCTTTCTTTTCTTTCTACGTTTCGTAAACCCTACTAGAGGATCGCTCACAGAGTCACTCTCTCCTTTCTCCTTTTCCTGCACAGGATAAGGATCTGGATTTTCGCGACCATGAAGTTGTACTTTCAACAGACGTTTCGTAAACGATGTTTCTTCCTCAGAATCGCTTTGGCACATGGATATGTTTTCAATATAATCCATCAAGGCTTCTTCTACAGAATCATTGCTTTCAGCACTTACTTTTGGACGATCACGGAACGGCGGATAATCCGATCGACGTTTTCTTCCTCGCCTTTTCCGTGGTGCTTTCCGAACGGGAGTCGCTGATGGCGACTCTCTCGTTCCGATCGTTGTATCAGAATGCGCAGAGGGTGGATCATTCGTTCTGTCAAGTGCACTGCTAAGATCTGTTACCAGTTCATCCATCTCAGTGTTATTCTAAATTTCGTTTTACAAAGAATTAAATCAAATGTTTACAACAGGATTTCATCCACAGCTGTCCGCCATATTGAAAAGTGCAAACTTTAGTTCCCAGTCTGCCTCTATTACTTCAAGCTCACAATATTCAAATTGCCGACTTGTTTATGTAGCTTGACAAAGGAGAGTTTTGTTTGGATTGGGGTTTCCAAGGAAATTTCAATGAACAATTACGGCTCTATTATGCTTCTCTACGTAGGAAGCAGGAGGTGGGAAGCCTATGATTGCTTAGTGCTTTATCATAATCCCAGTCTGCCGAAGATTCTCAGATTTAGCGAAGGTAATCTACCCCAAACGACTGATCTTTGCTGCAGATTGGAAAACAGGTAATGGTATTTGTTTACTGGATCAAGAAGGTCGGAAGGGAATATATTTGTCATGGCTGAGAGCGAAATATTTTCCCATCCGGTCCGACCTGACTTATCTGGGCATTTTGTCATATGGCAGTCACTCTCTTAGACTGACATGGTAAAGATTGTTAGTTACACATGACGATCAAATTTCAACTCGGCATGCAGTACTATTATGAAACTGCATGGCGACAAGCGCAAGAGAATGTAAGCATTACCACTCGAGGCTATCGCAGTTACGACAATTACAAGCTTGCAAATACACTAAATTACAAGGGCCCAAAGACACTAAAATAATTCAGATCAAGTGTAAATTCAGAAAGCAATTCATTACTAAACTTAAAAGCGGTAATATATACAACGGCGTAATATGTGACTAACACAGTCCATGTACTGTAAGATTTTACGCCACTAACTCAGTCGGTAGATTCATTATAATAAATTAATATGAAATTAAATTATTCGCTGACGTAAAATTTACATTATATATATATATATCACCGACTGGAAGAAATTACGCTTAATAACGACCCTTCTGAATCTTTTGTTATCCATTTTGTTGTGGCAACTGTGAGCGACAACAAACTTAGACTCTAATCTCAGTGATAAGGTGTGATCATCTTTTTCCTATCAGACCAGTTGTCCATGCTACAAAATTTTAGCCCTTCAACTCCCATTGATTGAAGATTCGATAGTCTATTCTTCCCTCTAGCTGTGACACACTTGTAAATTGGTTATGAGAATTTGGTGTTAGATCAAACAACTATCTGATAAGTCTGAGTATTCTCATTACCTATTTGCTGGGAAAATATATGGATATTCGAGAGAGAAGTTACATGGTAATCACCTCTGGCAGTTGAAGTGTGGACTCTTTTATTTTTCTCTTGATTTTTCTTTATATTTCAGAGTCATGAGATGTCAAAAGTGACCCTGGATGTGCCTGTTATTCAGGCATTTTAATCTGAATAATTCATCCTCCATACCTGATACTTCTGTTAGTAAACTTACGGGAAAGCAAGGCCATTATACACAGTCTAATAACAACTTGATTCTAAAATGGGTTGTGCCCCATCCTCCCAAAGTTTTCAAGTCCACGAAAATGAAACCCGTCTTTTACAAGAAATAGACCGTCTGCGAAGTATAGAGCAGTCACGCCAGGCAGAAATCAGCAAGCTGCAAGTAGAAAATGAAAAACTGCGACAAGGCCAAGTGAATGGTGGGTATGCAATGGTAAAGCGATCAGACTCTCCTGAAGACGACGGCCATGAAATGTTAGTGAAGGAGATTGAGAGATTGATATTGGAGCAGAGTGAAAAAGAAAATGAACTCAGTGAACTGAGGAGGACAAATGAGCAGCTGAACTTAACTTTGCAACAAAGCCCACCTCAAGTTCAGGTATTTAACAATACACAAACCCGCTAACACTTCCTCAGGGTCTAAAAAGTGTGGTCACAATGAATTGATGTAACCAATTTAAACCAATGATCTTGGTAAAAAAAACTGAATGAACTTTCACTATATTCTGGGTACAAAAAAATAATCTAAGTTGTAAATTGTTGTTGTTGTTGAAGGGTACCACATAGAATTGGCTTCGTTGATACATTCAGGATTGATAGGATTGGATAGGGGAGTGGGGATGACACAGTGGTGAGAGGGCTCACCTCGCACCACTGTGGTTTGGGTTCAATTCCTGGACCTGGGGTCACATGTGGGTTGAGTTTGTTGTTGGTTCTCATCCTTGCCCATAGTGTCTTTTTCAGGGTCCTCTGGTTTTCCCCCCTCCACAAAAACCAACATTTCTAGTTCCAAATCAGTCTCAAAAAAGTAGACAAGAAGAACCACTTAATGGAATGTCCAATGCTAAATTCCTATTTATTATTTATTTAATTAATGGAATGGAATGAGCATCTCTAAATTTGGATCGCAATGTGTTTTCATTCATTTTAAACAAAATACCATTAAAACACAGATGATTGTGTCAAAGCTGTGAATATGAAGAAAATCCAGCAATTATGAAGTTACACATGTAGATGAAATACACACCAAACATTATTTGTGTGTAGTCCATGACATACACAGCGAGTGTCAGATTCAATCCTCATGATTTTTGTCACTATGTTGTCTGAATTGTAAACTTGGCCTCAAGGATTTGAATTCTGACTCATCCAGCTATATATTGCCTGTTTGTCCCCAAACCAATCTACAAGGTGGTAATGGGAATTTAAAAAACTTTGCTAGTCTTCAAGGAGACTGCTTTTTGGTTAGCATAATGCCCAAAACGAGACTTACTTGTGATGGATAACTGTACAATATAATTATTCTTTTGCAGCAGTTTGTTAATAAGAACAGAAATCTTCCAAAAGTTGGAGATCCAGTGAGTATTTAAAGGATTAATTCTAAAGCTTCATGAAGTAATCTTTGTAACTGTATATAGTCATATTGAGGATCTCTCACTTTGTGTGGTACTAAAGTTACTTATATTTTCTATGGGAAAAAAAAGACAGAAATTAATTCATGAGGGTGTCACAATTACAGTAGACCAATTAGTTTTCATCATGGCCACTGATTAAAAACACACAGATAACTGGAAAAAAATAACACAAATAAAAAGGTTCCATGATTTAAAACCCCAACTGGCTGGAGGCAAACCATTTGGCTATTTTTAAGTTGAGTCAAGGGTTTTGGAAAAATACTGGTAAGATATTAAAAACTTTGAGGAGTTGAAGCGTCAATGCCAACTCCCCCCTATTCCCTCCTAAGTTCTACCCTTACCCAGTCTTCCCAGAATGACTTTCCTCTTGCCCACCAGAAACAAAAAAACCTAGGTTCTGCCTTATCCCCTCTCCCCACAAATCTTTCTTGTGAATCTCCCCACCCCTCTAAGATGAGCTTCTCTTCCCTTCCTGTTTTACAATAATCCATCCTGATGTTAGTGTAAACGTTTCATCAATTATGGGTGTTAAAATATTGATATGTTTAACTTGTAGGTTTTAGCAATGTGGGAATCAACCCCATGGCAGTACTTCACAGCAACCATAGTGTCATTTAACTCTGAAAAGCTCCAGTACAAAATTAATTGGGATGACCAGGATCCAACAGGCCGCATTATTGATTACTACAACTTGGCTCTGGACCGTGTCCCTGAACCTGACGAGGTCGCCATTGGTTCCATTGTGCTGTTTCCCCAAGGAAAGTATCGAGGTCAGGAGGGTGTTCGGCTGGGTGGCTTACGCTACCATCAGGTATGTGTGCGTGTGCGTGTGACTGTGCGTTTTCGTGCGCGTGCCTTTGTGCGCGCGTATGTTGTTCTTCTCTCTGCATTTTCACACTGTTCTGCATTGTCATATCTTTGCACGTTGTAAGCGTTCTGTTGCTCAATTATGGTGAACTTGCGTGTTCCTGGCATTCAGAGTTAGTAAAATGAAGTATGATAGTAAACGGCGTGATAGTACTGAGGAGTGAAAAAAAAAAAAAAACAGGGAGGTTTGGGTCAAGTCGTGTAAAAAAACGCTGTACGCCTACGCGGCCTGATCCAAACGTTTTTTGTTTTTCGCTTCTTTTCTGCAATTGCTTAAATTGCAGCCCTCATGCTAAGATTATTTCTTCACTTGAAAAGTAACAACGTTACTCATAAATTTATTTTATCATTTTAAGGGGCGAATAACAAGTGTTTCGAATGGTCCTGGGGGTCAGAAGCTTTATGACGGTGTGCACACCAAGGGTGAGGCAGACAACAAGTGGATCACATATTCAGGGTACAACTTCTATTTTACGGGAATGGAACTGTCAAAATTACGAATCTCACCCAACGTGTTAGACATCTTGTCTGACAATGACTCTGGTAGCGCTGTGGATGGCTTGATTCGTCCTTGTGACATATTCATCTCGTACTCAAAGGTAAATATCAGTTTTAATTTATATGATAAGCTGAATTTTACGCGCATTTTGATTCGTTCTTACTGATGATCTGTTGAAGTACAGACGTCACAATTTTATCACTTTGCTTCTTTATTAAATCAAATGCACTCTATGTTGCTGTTTGCTCAGCAATAGGGCTAGATCACGGAAGACGTTAAAATGTAGTCAGAACAAAAGATTGACACTCTCCGCTGTGCCTCGTGAGCAACTGCTTTTGCTTTTACCATATTTTGACGTCGTCTGTGATAATTATTCCTGAGCGGATGCAAGGTACCCTGGGATCTATTCGTTACCTAAGCAAAACCGCTTTTTAGAGATATCTATTTCTGTTGTTCAGTTTCAAAATTACACGATTTAGAATGCTGCGCTGCTAAACTATCGCCTTCGCGCCCCCCCCCCCCCCCTCCTTCCCATCGGTCACTTTTTGAACGACCAACAGACTGATTAAGCTCTATTTCCGCCATTTTCTCGAGTCTTTGATCCTCTGGAGAGAGAACTTCGGGAAAAGAGAGGGGGGTGGGGGGTGGTGGAGTGGGAGCTGAGCGCGCGGGCTCATTACCTGAATAGCGGCTGATAATCGAGCCCACAGGGGCCCGTTGTATAAAGGACAGATAACGCTATCTAACAGATAAATCGCCAGGAAAACCTTCTGCGCTATCCACTGGATCGTGATTTATCCAGTGGATGGAGTTATCCAACCTTTGAGCAACCGGGGCCTGACTGACAGGAATCCCTTGTACATCCTTATCTGGATGTTTGTTGCACAGACTACACTCATATTTATTGTACAAATATTGAAAAATTTTTCATGATATTTTTAACAGGCAAACAGCCCTTCTGCCATCAGAAATCGTGAGCTGGGGCCATCAGATCCTCCACCCAGCTACAACGAAGCAGTTCTGTCGAGTATTTGCGACCCGCGCGACATTCGATATCAACTTGAAGGCTGCGGAGCTACGGTGAATGGCGACAGACAGGCTCAACATTCACTGATAGAGACTGTACAGCAGATTAACACAGCAAAGGTGTTTGTGGCCTGTCTTAGCGATGAATACGTCAAGTAAGAAGTTATTGAATTCATTTATCACTTAGGGCACCAAGGTCAACCTTACGACAGAAATAAAAATTTTAGTTGTTGGGAAAATGGGAGAAAGACCCTTTGTTTAATTTAGGTAACGAACCAAATCGCCCATTATAAAGCATGTCTTTAGGTCAGATGACACCTCAAGGCTTAACTCTTTAAACGCTGAGCGTGATCAGCATCCAATTTCTCCTCACAGTAATATGGCTGAATCATTTATTAACTAAAATCATGAAAATAAAGAACCTTTGATCGTCAAGTGAATTCTCCTTGTCAGTATTAATGAAAATATATAGAGAAGAGTTTTGAGAATATGGATACTGATGTTAGCGAGTAAAGGGTTTTAAAATACACACCAATGAGAAAGAGGCAAATTTTCATAGAAGAAAATGACGAAGCACGAATAATATTTGTAAAGCCGAAAAATGTTTATCTCACTTTGACTTCAGACCATTAAAACCAAGTTTTACGATATTACACCTTTCTCTGTGAACACGGAGCACATGTCGCGAAATTGGCATCTTATGCAGCATATTTAGTCAACAAAACCTTTTTTTCGAGTCGACATAGCGACCAAAACTGTCGTAGTTTGGAGCGTTGTTACCTAGTTTTTCTTTTCAAGATTATCCAAGGAACCTGGTCGCCTTTACAGCTGTCCATCGAGATTTCAAAACTAACACCACAACTAAGTGTACATGTCAGTGTAGTGAGGCAGGCCCCGAGAATTCGTTCGCAGTTTCTTGCAACATCTGCAACAAAGACATTCAGTTTCGCGTGTGATTGTTGCAGAATAAGGCGCTCCTTCACGGACCAAGAAAATCTGGTTTCCTTATCACCACTTATAACCATCTTTTTTCTTTCTAGGGATGAAATTTGCCGTCAAGAGTTCCAGTATGCTAAGAAGACCGCGAGAAAACCGGTTATTCCCGTTGTAGTAGGCAGTGGATCTTTCGAATGGATGATGACAGTTGTGGGTTTGCTTATTGCCGGTGAAGTGTACATTCACTTCAGCAACAGAGATGTACAGGATTCTAAGATGACAGAGCTTCTGCGAGCTGTTAAGAAGAGCGTGCCTGAAGTTAAATTTCCCGAAGAATTGGGAAGCGTTCAAGGTATGTTTTGTATTTTTGCGGTCACATACAAGGATAGTACCAACCGACTTCAAAGTTACAGCCACCTTGTCCAGCGTAACAAAACAGTTCTACCCCACAGTAGCTTCCTTTTGAATAGCGACATGCAAGGGGTTCATCCACAGAATTTTAAGTTAGAACAACCTTGCACAGCGTAATACACAGTTACACATGTGAAAGTACTGTCCAATAGCTTTCATTTAGATGGTCGCATACAAGGGTTTGTCCTCAATTTCAAACGTTGGAATCAGCACGAGAAGCATAATAAACAGTACCGCATAAAAATGTTGCTCACAAGGTTTCATTTGAATGGTCAAACAGACTTGTGACTTGTGACAAAGTGACTTGAACTTTTTAAAATTTTTCCAGATTTGCCAAGTGCTGGAGATACCTCGGACGCTGGAATCCGAGATTCCGCTGACGTGTTTATCAGTTATTGCTGGCTGAATTCAGAGAATGCACATAAAGCCAAACATGTAAGTACTTGTTGATGCATATTGTTTTGGATGTACTTTGATCGCGAAAACTCCCATAAAACCCAGCAGCAAATCGGTGATTGTGAATAAAGCTGACGATAGGTGTCACAACTAAGTGATTGTCCAACCTAACGAATAACTGCCCATCCTTATGTTTCACTCATGGATTGACTGACTGACAGAGCGACCGACTGACTGAATGCCTGATTGACTGACTGTCTGGCTGACGGACTGACTGACTGACTGACTGACTGACTGACTGACTGACTGACTGACTGACTGACTGGCTGACTGACTGACTGACTGACTGAATGACTGACTGACTGACTGACTGACTGACTGACTGACTGACTGACTGACTGACTGACTGACTGACTGACTGACTGACTGACTGACTGACTGACTGACTGACTGACTGTCTGGCTGACGGACTGACTGACTGACTGACTGACTGACTGACTGACTGACTGACTGACTGACTGACTGACTGACTGTCTGGCTGACTGACTGACTGACTGACTGACTGACGGACTGACTGACTGACTGTCTGGCTTACGGACTGACTGACTGACGGACTGACTGACTGACAAACTGATTGATTGACTCTCTGACTAACTGACCAACTGACTAACTAGCTGATTGACTGCCCAAGTGACTGACTGACTGATAATTTAGTGTTAACAACCGAGTTGAAAACGTAACTTGGCCATCGTAAAGAGTTAAAAGGCGGAGGTTTCGAGCGTTAGCCCCTTGTCAATCGCTCTGACGAAAGGCTAACGCTCGAAACTTCGGTCTTTTAACTCTTTACAGTGGCCAATTTAAGTTTTCAACTCAGTTGTTAACACTTAATTACCTGTTATACTCTCCCACCGACGTAGCACCACAGTTTCTTTAGAAACTTACTCCCTTTATGACTAACTAACTGACTGACTGACAAATCGTTTAATGTCTGACAGACTGTTACAATGATTAATTGAATTAAGCGGGCTGAATAATGACACGTTTTTGTAGCTACTACTTGCAATACAATTAATATGTTCCGCTTTATTTATATTCTTTTTTTCGGCAATGATTAGGTGACAGAGTTCATCGGGTCTCCATTTGCAGACCCCAGGAAAGTGCACAGCAGCCTGGTAAAAGCAAACAAGTTCTCCCTATGGATAGACATCGAGCGGCTCAGGACAACCAATCAGAATGAGGAATCCTTAGGCATGGTGAGTCAAAAGAAAGAAAAGTTTCTTTTTTCTCACCTTTCAGTGGAACATTGTTTGGAACAGCACTCCGATCTAACGAACATCCGTTTCATCGAAATGTCTGTTTAAAGGACAAGCGTGTCTACGAACGATTCACGAACCTTACTTCCCTAGGGCCCCTACCCACCCATCCTCCCTTGGTATTGTAACAAATTCATTTCCTCTTAATAATTGTGAGGTGTTACTTCTCTCTTCTCTTCTGCTTCCCTACTGTTCTTTCTCCAGGAACAAATGAACACAGGGTATGAACCTGTTCTTAAATTTGAATTTCTTTGCAACGGTTTACAATTAATATACACTTGTATTTACTACCGTTTATTTTTCACGCCATACTTTGCTTTGTTTCAGTTTGAGCAAATCGCCGAAGGACTCGGGAAGGCCAAAGTGGTGTTGGCGTTTGTTAGTAAACAGTACGCCAACAGTGAAAACTGCAGAATTGAACTGCAGTTTGCTCTCAAGGTACATAAAAACTTTTTTTTAGGGCTTTTAAAAGATTTTGTACTCAAAGCGATTGTTAATGGAATTTGGCTTTTTTTTCTAGTCTCTGAAGAAACCTTTGGTCCCAGTGATCGTGGGCGCAGACAATGATTGGCAAAAGACAGTGGTGGGGCTGTTAGTGGGTGGCCAGGAGATCCAAGCCATCAATTTACAGGACGTCCACTCTGAAGACGTGTTTACGGAGAAATTAGAGGAAATACAGTGAGTATCATACTGTTGAGGTCAAGTTAGCCCTTCCAGAGCAGAAAGAGCGCCCTGCGATTGAATTTTTCTTTAATCTAGAACCTAAACAATTTAGTAAGAGTCTGTGAGAATTCTAAATGGACACAATTATACCTCCTCGAGCGCGTGAAATGCACGTGACAGTGCTCTGATTGGCATTAGTGTTGCATCTGATTGGTGGAAAGAGGGGCGTGAGGTTTTCAAACCAATCGTTCCTCGAAGGAAGGAAAGGCCAATGAAATCCCAGAATGCTTTCATAACTCAATGGGAAATTTCTCTCTCTACAATTAAACTCCTTTGCCTGATTCTAGTGGATGCTATCTCTTGTTGAATCAATTCAGCCCTAAGCTGATTCCTGTGTTCCTGGACTATCAAAATTCTACCTATATTTAGTAACATCATGTAATACTGAAAACGGTCACCCTTGAAATGAACGAACAACCATTCAGATGTAAAAGATAACGCCAGGCCTCTTTCTTACACAATATTAAATTTGCAATTACTAATCTTTATACGGCAATTTTTAGGGAGGCCATTTTGCCTCTACTTGGTCACGCAGAGGAAGCGAGAAGCTACCGAGCGCCTGTCATAGGCGATCACGTGATCTCTCATCACCAACAATGGGCTTACTACGCGGCGACCATTGTGAGCTTCGACCGCGAGACTTTGAAATACACAGTGGACTGGGACGACGGAGATCCTACAGGGAAAGTCCAGTCATATAAGGTATGCAGAGAAATTAGGTGCATCTTGGGTAAAAACCGAAGTTCTTATTGGAGAGAAATAAAGAAGCTCTTGATTGTTAAAAAAATCCTCCCTGACAGCTGCTTAAGAAATGTATATGGAATAGTATGGAGAATGTGGATTCTGATGTTAGAGTGTGAAGGTCAAAGCAAACCTGAACTCTGGTTTACTTTAGGACCTGGCCATTGACAAGATCCCAAGTGAAGACCAAGTGGGTGTGGACTCCATTGTGTTTTTCCCCCAGGGAGGTTACGGAGCTACCGAGGGGAATAACACCGGGGGAGTCAGATACCATGAAGGAGTCGTCACCCGTGTCTACAAGGTTTGTCAAAGCTTAGTGTTAAAGGTTTGAATGGTTCGTTGGACACATGTTCAATCCTAATTTTAATAAAAGCCATTTTGATGGGCTCGATTTCCGCCGCTCTCTCGTTTCCGGTCCTCGCTCCTCCCCGAGAAGAGAGTTTGGGGATGGGGAGGGAGGAAGGAACGCGGGCTCATATTCCCGAACAGCGGCTGGTAATCGAGACTAACATTTTGACACAAGCAGTATCATGATGTACAGAACCGAGAATAAGCCTGAGTCTGAAAATTCGATGATCTTCAAGAAAGTGTGAGGAGTACGATCGGATAACGGTGGTGTGTCAGAAAGGTTGCGTAATTGTAGTTCAATTCAACCCGCTCAGCACGCGTGCGGCCTTAACGCAAACGACACGCGTGAGAGAAATCAGACACGCTCCGTTTGTTTCCCTTGCGTGTGACTTCTTATTGGCACGTGTTCTCCGGGAGCCTGCCCTCATTAATAGTGCTTTGGCACGAGCGTTTCTTAGCCCGCAGGAAAGTGGCCGTCCTTGAGCAAAACGAGCCAAGGAGAGATCTGCAAGGGGTCTGGCACTAGTAGTGCCAATCCTTCAGCGATCTTCTCCCCGACTTGTCTAAAATTTTCCCGCGGGCGGAAAATGCACGTCCCGCAGCACTAACGATGAGGGTCTGCTCTCGGGCAAGACAAAAAAATTTCAGAATTAACAGTAGACGCCCTCATCGCAACCTTTTTAATTGAATCGGTTTTTTTTTTTTAATTCTTTTTAGGATTCCTCTGGAGCCTGCCTATATGATGGGCATCACACCAAAGGCGCAGAGGACGGAAAATGGGTCACTTACAAAGATTACAATTACAACTTCAATGGCATACCTCTGCAAATGCTTAGAATCGCTCCCAACGCCATGGATGCACTCATGGCTTGCAAGGAGGCCTTTAGTTGAAATTTCTTCAACATCTCGTGTTTCTTGAATATCTCCACTGAAATAGGAACTGTTTTAATCACCAAGGCAACCAGTTGTCAATTATTGTTTGAATATTTTGCATGGTCTCCTTCGCGGTTGTCTTTTGAGATGTCACGCGATGCTCTCCCTCCACCCCCCTCTTATCTTTCTTCCCTTTCAAATAAAGAAGACGAGCGTTGCGTGACAATTCAGAGAAGACGAGAAGCATTGTTCGCGCCAGCCGGAATAACTACCCCCCGTTTATAGGCCCTCTTGACACCCTTTACGAAGTAGTGTATGCCCAGGGCTGACAAGCGCTAGTTAACGGTATATGTTTTTTTTTTTTTATGGGAAATGGTTGTGAGACAGGTGTTAAGCGCATGAAACGTTTGTACACCAGAGATTCAGTATTTACAAGGTTTAATTTACAGTCAAATTAGAGAGTAAAGAGGGTTTGAATGGAGTGATAAAATTTTGGCCAATTTACGGCAAAGGTTAATACCTTTCAACCAGAAATGTTTTTACAGTTAAATTTTTTTACAACATACGACTTAATGTCTTGGTCACTTTACGGGTAATAGTTAACCCCTATTAGCTATTAAAAGGCAGGCCTTTTCTAATAAACTGAAGAGTAAATATTTGTTTTGTGGAAAGTCCAATCTAAACCAAAATAAATTCAACCTTTGCCCTCTGTACTACATTGTACAATATTTGCCGACTAGTTTATTAACTACTGTGCAAGTGGCAGAAACGAGAATTACAGTTGAAGTATCAAAAAACGTAAAGTCTCTTCACCCCTCCCCGCTCGGTGAGTTGAAACAGAATCCATATGACCTTAGCTAGATCATTTCCCTTGAGAGGGGACAGGTAAGCGGGGAACAAGTGAGTGAATTACTCTCCTAATATTCGAAAAGAAGTTACAGGATCTGAAGACAGTTTCAGAATGTCTCTGGGTTCTCAAGTGCTGTTCTCTTTCGAGGGAGCAAACTGGAGACAACTCGAGCGTGTTCGTTAATATTTGCTTAATTTTGTGTCCTCTTTGAAAACAAAAATTTCACCTTGAATGACCTTTTTTGGCTGACAACATCGCCCATCCACTCCCCCACTGGACCACTCATTATGCGCGATTCTTGACAACCCTTGCGTGAAGCTGTCACAGCTGAGCTTCTCAAGTGAGTTTGGTGCTCTAATTACATTTATTAGGAGCAAGATCTTGAATTTCATCGTCTTGACGTGAAAGCAAGGTTTGTGATGAATAATTTTACAACTTTTTAGTTGATTATGAATACTGTAGCGTACCATTTGTAATGAATAAAGAGGCTAAATTGCAAATGGAAATATGGTGCCCACAGATGGAGGTCTTAGAAGATAATTTGGGTTCATTATGTTAATCGGCCATCGTAGAGAGATACTGAGACGATTCTTAAACTGGCGTTTCAACAGTTAGCCCTTCGTCCGAGCGAGGAAGGCCTACTGCTCGAAACGTCAATTCAAGAATATCTCTGCGGTGTCCAATTTACGTTGTCACCTCACTGTAAAAAACCAAATATGCAAATCACATTTTCGGTGTTCTTGGATTAATGTCTGGTTCGATTTTTGACGTTTTTTAAACAATGCTTCATGGAAACGACCTTGGAACAAAAACCATTCGATACATACATCAAGAGTTTTTCTTCTCTGGTTCCAAGACAGTAGATTCATCAGTCCGAATTGTATCATACAGTGTAATTTAAAAAGTACACGGCGAACGCAGTTTCCCTGCCTGAAGGAGTTTCGTAATAATTTATTCGAGTTATTGCACTTGGGGTGTGCATAGATGATTTCTGCGTGTGGCAAATAAGATTAGGACGAAAATATCTCATATCTCAGCATGAAACTTAGTGTTTGTGATTGAATCGTGAATCGAAAGGCTGGATGGTTTGACCTCAAGGGCGCGATAGTATGAAATTGCACAATATATGAGTGTTACTGAACAGAGTAACGCAGTAACGGGTAACGCAGTAATGAGTAACGCAGTAACGAGTGACGCACTAACGAGTAACGCAGTAAGGAGTGAAGAAGAAATGAGTACCGAGTAACCTGGTAACAACTTAATGGCAAAAATGCTACAAAGTTTTAAAATGATTTAAACAAATTAAGAGAGACCCAGAAACGACAAGTAAACTTCGACAGGAGAAAAGAATTATTTCAATCAAGAGAATATATTCTCATGTTGAAACAGATTAGAAAAGATGAATTTAAGGAGAAAAATTAAGCGTGGAGGTTATTTTGATATTGCGGTGTTGAGACGAGTTTGACAAAGGGATGCGCCTTTGGAATCACGGGTTTTAAAAAGATTTTTTTTTTAGTGTTATGTGTATGCTTTTTTGTTGTTTGTTTTTATTTAATTATTTTTTCAACGTACGCCCTTTTTTTCAAATAGAGAAGAAAAATAATACTTGGTACTCCTGATGGTTGATATGGATATTTAGCCGCCACACACCATAATCCTTATAGAACTGAAGACGCATCGTGCACTCCAATTGCTCTCGCGCATCCTCGATTTGCTTTACTAAGAACGTGTGGAAAGATTGATAGTTAACTGAGCAAAGTTTTTTAATCAGTCTGACTTATAAATTTATTTTACTTTGTTTTTCTATTCGCTCAGCTCTTGAGAAATGATAGGCAGAACGGCTTTACGCCTTTTCCTCGGTCGTCATAGCACCCGCCGGTCAGCGTACTCTACTAAAACGGCTCATAAAATTGGAATCATCGGCTTAGGAAATGTCGGCTCAACAGTCGCAAAGAACCTTCTTAAGTCAGGTTTCACAGTGTCCGCCTTACTCGACAAGGATCCAAAAGTGGGGCAAGATCTACCTGGGGATATACCACGCCCAAAGACACCACGTGAGCTGGCTGCCATGTGTGACGTAGTCACAACAGCTCTCCCTGCCCCACCCCATGTTAAACAAGTCCTGTTGGGAGAGGACGGGGTATTGGCAGGGCTGCGGTCAGGAGGGGTATGGATTGACCATTCAACCACGGATTATCAGCAGACTTTGGACCTTACTGCAGAAGCTGGTATGTGTCTTAGGGCGAGAACCTTTTACAAGAGAGTGTAGTTAGAATGAGATAAGGTGGGCCCCCGGATAGTGTGGTTTGGTTATAATTTCGGTGAAATCCCAAGGATATCCCGGCAGGGATACCCAGCCACCATACGTATTCCAGGGCGGGATCCCAGTGTGGTTCTGGGCGGCAACACAGCGGTGCCATGGACGCGATCCCAGACGTCGTGAAATATATTTCTCTATTTATTGGGGGAACCCGGCTGTTGCCACTGATTTCCCTTTCCACCAAAAACATTAATGGGTACCTCAGAACTGCGAGGGAAACAAGGAAATGTGAAAAGGCCAGCCATCGCAGTTTGCTTACCAAGTTTTCCTTATGGTTGAATGGAGTTCAATTGATACTCTCTATATACTCTCTATACTCCTTAGTGGAGAAACACCGTAAAGGAAAAGTGGGGCTGGAATCAAGGCTTGTTAATTGTTAGTGTACAGCCCAGCAGAGTTCAAATTCTTGGGCCACTTTTCACTTTATAAGTCCCGATGAAGTTCTCCTTATAATGCCGTCTGCGATACAACTTCTTGCGCGCAATATTATATTAAAGCTTGTTATCAGAGATTAAGACGTGGATTAAACGATTTTCAAGGATTTGAATTACACTCGAGCTTATTATTAACTCATATTTTGCCTCTGAAGCTAAGAAAGGCATCAAAGTTCTTGAGGCGCCCGTCACAGGAGGTATGGCTCTTCTCAAGCAAGGTAAAATGACTGTACTGGTCGGAGGAGACAGGCAACTCTTCGAAGACTGCCTTCCTATTCTACAACAGAGCGGTAAGAAAGTGCTGTACATGGGAGCGATGGGGAGCGCTACCATTGCAAAGGTTGTCTCTAACATGATAGCTGCTGTTAATGTCGTTACCATGACCGAAGCCATGTTACTGGGGAAAAGGGGCGGTGTCGATTTAAAATCCCTTTTTGATGCCATTAGATTTAGCGCTGGAAATACGTATACGTGGGAGACGGAAGCTCCTTTGGTATTCAATGGAACGTACGATCCAGATTTCACCATTGGGCTCCACTGCAAGGACTTGAATCTTGGGTACCAGCTCGGACGTAAGTTTAATGTCCCCATACAGATACTTGCCCACGCAGAACAGATCTACAACCGCGCCCTTTACAAGTTTGGGGATGAGGTAGGCTCAACATCCCCTGCAAAGCTTCTGCAAGACGAATTAGAAGAAACTTTGCAGGTTGAAGGATTCGAGGATTGGACGTATACTATTGAACATGTTGAAGACTCCATGGCCGTTGTGCACACAACAAAAGAGAAGGTTTACGGACAGAAGTGAAGCACAGTCAATGTGCAGTTCAACAAAGTGGAAACTCTGACAATTCAATAATTTTTTTCTTTGTATAACGTTAGCTCGCTTGGTATTTTTAGCATAAATAAATTTTGTAAAGGTTTGAAGTTTGCTCCATCATGAGAGTGAAGTGGGTGTTGATGAGGAGAGAGGGGGATAGGGGCGGGAAAGGGGGAGATCGTGGGGGTGGGGGTGGGGGGCTTACCTCAGGTAATAACAGTGTTATTAGGTTGTGGGCGTGAAATGATTGTGAGAGTGGCGACCCCGGTAACTTAAGGATTAAAAATAATATTTTATTTTACAACATTACTATTGCTATTCATACTCAGTTAAATTAAGGTTTCGAAATAAATGATTGTCCAGTGGCCTGAGCCAAGCTGGAACAATCACGGTTTTCCATGTTTTCCGCCTTGTTTCACAACTAATTGTGCATTTCAAATTTAGCAACTGTTGAGTTTCTCGAGAATTCGTTGCAAAGTCGTAAACAAATGACACCCTAGTGCAAGATTTTATAGGGAAAATGTATGTGACGGTGAAAGGGCCCTTATCTTTCATTTCTACGATCGAAAGATCGATAGGAAAAACTGAAATACGCAGGAAGTTTCTGCGTGAAAAATTACGATTAATCCTTTATTTTTCGTGACACTGTGCTTCGAAGGGGTCCATCCTCCTTGGTCCTGCAGTGCTGATTTTGTGTGGGACATTGAACCTTTCATAAAGAAAGTGCATTTATTGCGAAAGTGGGAGTAACTGTCTTAACCAGTGACCCTCTAAATTACTAATCGAAAGGTGTAAAAGGCTGTCAAAATATGATAATTACGCTGTTAGCCATTATTAGTGTCGCTAAATGCATATGGACCAGCAGAACATAAATTGTTTTGTTTTTTATTTCGGACATTATGTATGAGCCAGTCACGAATTGATACGTCACCATTGATAGTTTTAAAACTTTTTTTTTCCTTCATGAAGATAGCAGTAGACGTACCAAAACCATTTTCGTGATCGTATTTCACTTTTTGATGAAAAGGGATGAAAATCCGTTTTTCACAAGGAAAGTTTGCGTGCGATTGAAACGATACGAACAGATCTCATTAGTTCGCTCAAATCAAGAATAAAACCCTCCTTCGGGGTTTTTTTTTTTTTTTTCAATTTTTTAAGTTCGCTTTGCGCATTATGAAGCAATCGATATCGGAAGCAGAAGAAACTGTCCTCGTCACTTTGAAGCTTGAGGAAGCCGTCAACTGAAAGCCTGAAAATAAAAAATTTCACCATTCTGAACATCTGTTGTGTCTATGTCATAAACTGGAACATTTACCACGCAGGGTGACGGAAGATAAATGGTTCAAATGAATTAGAACCAAAACTTTGAGGTCACTGTACACTTTAAATTGATGATGGGCTTGTCTCATCTGCAGATTAAGGTAACAGTTCACGGTGAACTTGTAGAATCTGAGGCGCGCTTATTCAGGTAGGCGAAACTGTTTAAAGAACTGTTATTTTCAATTCTAATTTTCAATTCCACCCCAAGGAAATTGCTCGCTTTCTTCGAAAAACGTTTTAGCAAGAATGGTGGCTGAACACTTTTTAATCAAATAAACTGATCCAGCTGTTGCAAACATTTCAATGTTTCAGAAAACTTTTCAAGTTAGCACCAAAATACTAATATTCTCTATCTAATATGCGGAGATTCGTGCTTCCTCAACAGAGCTCGACAGTGTTTTTGTGATACAAGCTGAGAATGGACGTCACCTCCATGAGGATGATTTTGGTTTTTGTCCTGTTTGTGTGGATGGAACAGACAAACGCTTTCAACTCTCCAGGTACGTAAGAACGAATGAATATAGAAATAAATCAGATCTAAATGAACAGAGAAGTCCACGAAAAAAAAACAAGGAAGCCGTCAACTGAAAGCCTGAAAATAAAAAGTTTCACCATTCTGAACATCTGAGAAAAAACATTTACCACGCAGGGTGACTGAAGATAAATGGTTCAAATGAAGACGTAAGGACGAATGAATATAGAAATAAATCAGATCTAAATGAACAGAGAAGTCCACGAAAAAAAAACAAATGAAACAGCAAAATGAGAAAAAAGTGAAATATGGGGAGTTATCGCCCTGAAAGAAGAATCGAACGATACTTATTCAAATCCTTTTATTCCTAAATAGAGACAAAGATTAGGTTCGTGATAGCCTCGTGATAGCTTCGTAAGTATGCTCAAAATCCTGATATGTCCTCGCCTTGAAACCCCATCTGCAGGTCTTTTCCTTCAAACATTTTTTTAAAAATATGGCATATATTCTATAAGGCTTTTTCTCCCTTTAAACCTTATTTAAAAAAGCAGTTTATAAAGTTACAATTGTACAGTTTTTAATTAAAAATAAAAGATCGCTGCCTCTGTCAATATTTCGCGACATTTATTATTTCGAATGATGATGTTGTGATGTTAATAAAGTAAGCCTGAATTTTTTCAATTTTTTTTTTATGTACAGTCCGGTCACTCTTCGACACCTATGATCACTTATATTTCCTTGTAGCTATTCCTAAAATTTAAAATCAATGATTCCCGACAACTCCCGAATTCGCATCATAGCCAACTCCACCGGCCTTTTATAATAAACATCTTCACATCAGCTCTCCTCTCTGTGTGCCATTCACCTCTTGAAGCTTTAGCCCCGAGACTTTGTTGCTAACTCAAACAAAATTCCTTATTTGAAATTGTTTTTTTCTGAACTGTTTGCACTAACATGCACTGCTATTGTAAAGATAAATTCCCTTTTGGTCGCTCCTAGTGGGGGATTGGGTTAATAGCTAAACCACAGCTGTCACGAGTTATGAAAAGCTTTATGACAGAGTTCCCCCGTTGTTATCCTGAATGTTGAAATTTGTCATTCGCAATCTGTTTCGGTCTTAGCCATCCTTAAGCAATCTATGTTCTTTTTGTGTTTTCTTGCTACTTTGGTGTTTATGGTTTTATTCTAACTAAAAATTAACTTTATGCACAAAGATGACTGTATCTATTCTTATTTTAGATTGCGAGTCAGTTGTAAATAATACACTGAAAAGTCCACATTATCCAGATGACTACCCCAGCGATGTGTACTGTTCCTATAATATTCCAATTCCAAATAACTCGGCACTGATTATTACTTTTGAGTACTTCCACCTGGAGAAAGTTGACGGGTTATTATGCACGTGAGTAAAACTATTAAGAGGCTGTCCGCGTAAGAACGGATAAGGCAAATTTCGGCCGATCGCCGATTTCCCTAAGTTTTTCAGTGAAAGTTGAAAATTTATCCCATGTACAAATATCACATTTATTTTTATCATTTTCATTCTTTTTATTTTTTATGAGACAATTATTTTAAAAGTCACCCCAAAACTGCCCAATTTGCCTTCTGTGACCCCTATTACTAAGCTATAAATATCGAGCGTTACCAAATCCTTATTTCCCAATCTAGAAAGCTGATTATTTTAAATATTTAAGAATGACTTTATTTCAATACTTTAAAGGTAAAATGATTGCATTCTATAAAATTTTGACCGAGTAATGAAACTTTCAAAATACCTTATCGTGAGCAAAGAAATTTGTGAGGAGTGAGATACATGCGGTTGAAAGCTATTTTCTCTTACGTGGGACCTGATCTAGAGTCAAGTCTATTGAAGCTCAAAAGTACTTAGAAACAGCAAGTTAAACATAGAATAAAACTTTTGGGCACTCCTCATCCTGCACCGAAGAGAGCTTGGCGAATTTCATAAATATTCGTCATCTTGATTGAAATCAACGATAAGGCGGTCGGACCTGCAGACAGGTTTCTAAAGCGTAACAGCCCTAAAGTACTTGAAGTTGCCGCAAAGATTATCTGATGGAGTATCAAGATCGATATAATTCATCATTTCGGCCATTTTTTCACGAAATGGCTCAAATTTTTTCGGAAAAATACTTCGTTAATAGTTCCTATATTCAAATTAGCTTCATGCGTTCGTGTTATAATACGTGTCAAAAATAGTTTCCGTAACAACATTTAGCCGTTCAAAGAAGTGTTCCTATAAATGTGAAACTCATCTGTTGTATCCTTTCTTGACAGAAAGACAACCAAGTTGTTCATTTCGCGCAAGTGTTTTTATCATGTGCATAATCTTTTCAGACCTCTTTTGCCGTTTTTCTTCAGGAAAATAATTCACCCGTACTTGGGGAAAAATTTCGTCTTACTGTTTGTGAAAGTTTTTTAGATTGTGAGCTAGTTGGTTCTCATGATTTACGCCGTGGAGACTTTTAAGCGTGACTGTGGACTGCCGTGAACTAGCCTAGTCACGCAATACCAGCATTAAAAGACCGTCTCACGGCTGGTGAGCTCAAATTAAAGAAACATTTAGTTCGGCATTTATATCACGATATGTTGATGTTTCCATCGAGAGTATGAAAATCTCCCAGAAGAAATTGAGAAATTATGCAACCGATAGAAATTGGTATATTTAATTTAATAAATGTTTCCAAAAGTAGGTAAGCGAATTTAGTAACTTAAGTTAAAGGCATAAATCATTGAGAAAATTTCGAGGAGGCAATAGAGAAATTCTCTTTTGTAAATGCTCGTACATGCTATAGAGTGAGGGTCAACATGACTCACGGTCACGGTAGGCTTATGATTTTCCTGTTTTGAAATTGAAGGCGTGACTACAAAATAACAGGCGCTAATTTTAAAATGATTTTCACGGGTTTAATTACATGCTAATGCTTTAAGCACTTTCATTCATCGATATAGAACTGTCCATCAGAGTACTAAGAGGCGGTGCACATTGCTCTTCAACAAATTCACTCTAAATGCCACTGGTTTGCCCAGGGCTCCATGCTTACAGTCATCCCAACCGTGGCCCGTGTGTTACACTTCATTAAAGCATTGACATTCTTGTATAAAGGACACCAGTTGCCCAATCAGGTCTTTTCTCCTGTCTCTTGATTTAAATGGTATTCCAAAAAAGCGCAAGATTCCTTAAAGCAGTCGTAAAGTGTCTGTGCCTCGGGCAGATGGTCATTCCCTCGAGCTAACTTCTCGGCAAATGCTGAATTCCCGCTCTCGCCATGATCAACTTGGCTTCTGTAACTTCGCTGTATTTTGACAAGTAGCAGCTCGCCAAATGGGCGGATATATCTGCGTTACACTCGGAGAACAAAACATGCTCTACTTCCACCACTAGAACCGACTTTGCAGTATTTCGTAAAGAGAACAATTTGGGGAGACAGCAGGCATTTTTAGTGCTAACAAAGTAAACGTCCCAAGAAACACTGCCTCGGATTTGTCTGAAAATGTTGCCGACAGATCGTTTTGTTCCCGACAGATTTTAATTGAACTAGGAAGAAATAAACAAGTTTGCCAAATATTCTTTCGCAAAAAATAGAAATGCCACACAGAAAAGTTATAAAGTCTTCACTTAATAAGCTTTAAGCAAAAAAAATTTCGTGTGTTTTCGAAGAGATGTACCTGCATTACAAGGAAATGTAGCTGCCATCGAATTTCTTTATCAAAATTAATCAGTAATTTAATTAGGTGAAACAGAAACACACGGCTCTTTTTTAGCGCCTCATAGAAAATGAAAATGGTCGTAAAAACATAATACAAAATTTTTGTCTTGAAAATGCGGAAAAAATTCCTAAAATAAAAAATAAACAAAAACAAAAAACCACACACACACACACAACTCTTGGTCATCAAGAAAACGCCAAAAGAAAAAAGTGTCCTAAACTACATATTACATAACTTTCTGTAGCTAATTTGCATAATTTATTAACCGCAAGAAAGCTATCCCTCATTGTTTGTTCTTCAGCACACCTATATCTCAAATACAACGGCGTAAACGTGATATGATACTTATTTCTGATGTACAAACCAATCTCTCATTATTTATTATTCGATTTTAAGGTGGTTCTCGGTCCCGATATTAATAAACTGTTGGACCGTGTTTTATCGAGATAAAAACACTTGAGCGAAATGAACAACTTTATTTATCAAAACAAACTGGATTCCGTTAGCGCATTGTGTTCAAAGAAAATGGCTCTTGAAATTTTACGTAATGCATTCAAGAAAGGATACAACAATTGAGTTTCCACATTCTTAAAAACACTTCTTTGAATGGCTAAATGTTGTTACGGAAACTGTTTGTGACGTGTATCGTATAAACACGATCGGCTGCAGTTAATTTGCATATAGGAATTAAAAAGTATTTTCATTTCGTTAAAAAAAGGGCCAAAATGATGATTAACATCGATCTTTATACTTCATCACATAATTGTTCCTGCACTTTTAACCTTTTTAGGGCTGTTAAGCTTTACAAACCTGTCTGCTGGTCGGACTGCGTTATCATTGGTTTCGATCAAGACGTCGGATATTTATGAAATTCATAAAGCTCTCTACGGCGCAGGATGAGGAGTGCCCAAAAGTTTTATATTATGTTTGACTTGCTCTATCTAAGTACTTTTAAGCTGCAATAGACTTGACTCTAGATCAGGTCCCACGTAAGAGAAAATAGCTTTCAACCGCATGTACCTCACTCCTCAGAAATTCCAATGCTCACGATAAGGTATTTTGAAAGTTTCATAACTCGGTCAAAATTTTACAGAATGCAATCGTTTTACCTTTGAAGTATTGAAATAAAGTCATTCTTAAATATGTAAAATAATCAGCTTTCTAGATTGGGAAATAAGGATTTGGCAGCGCTCGATATTTATAGCTTAATTATAGGGGTCACAGAAGACAAATTGAGCAGTTTTGGGGTGACCTTTAAAATTGTCTCGTAAAAAATAAAAAGAATAAAATTGATCAAAATAAATGTAATATTTGTACATATTGTTGACTTCCAGTGAAAAACTTAGGGAAATCGGTGCAGGGCCGAAATTTGCCTTATCCGTTCTTCCGCGGACAGCCTCTTAACTTCTAAAGCACTTTTTGATAAGTTGTGGAGAAAAACAAAAACTTCATTTACAACCTCAGTCTAACGGTAAAGCGGTCAGCATGAACAAGCAGCCAATTAATGCGCAGGAAAACGCAGATTACACAGCCGCGAGAGGTTTAAGTTATGCATCCGGTTGGTTTAAGGATGGTGCGAGTTTTTGAGCCAATAACAGAACGCGGTGATGGGAAACCATTGCAATCCTAATTATAAATTACTTTGCCAAATAACTTAACCCTTTTACTCTCTAAAGTAAAATACCAGTCCTACCCAGTCCTTTCTAAACGAGCTGATTCTAATCAGAGCCATCCTAAATGTAGACATATTTTCTTTGTTTCCTTTTTCCAGCCAAGCTGACTATGTGCAAATAAGGTCCAGCTTTGGGCAAAATCTTGGTACGTTCTGTGGCGAGTGGACTGGGAAAACGATAGTCTCTCTAGGAAAGTATGCGCAGATAACTTTCCAGTCGGATTCAATGTTTCAAGAACGCGGATTTCTAATGCATTTTTGGACTGGTCTAATTGGTAAGACATAGGGAAAGATATCCATACACATGCGTAAATTGATTTTAGAGTGTGTCACAGCAAACTTTTGTGTCAAACCAAACTTTTTCAATACAAAGACAAAATGACAAAGAAAACATTGCTGAACGCACGAGTGGGTATGTTTCGAGCGCCTTGATTTGTGTCATAACCAAAAGGTTTCATTGTAAAGATCGTTAACAAAAGTTTTACAAGAATCATTGCCAAGGGTTACTTTGGGTTACAAGCCGAGTTACTGACCCATAAGAACTGGTTCATATAAAGCGTGCGCAACACGCAGTATGGATGTGCATGGGAAGTTCAGAGAGCGCGAGAGAAACGTATTGAGCTTGCTGAATCTGAAAGTTTGGCAACAGGAAAGTGCGCTGAAACTGGACGGGAACTTTTGCGGTAGAATTTAGCTACTCACGTGATGTTAAGTTCGCTCGGAGGTGCAAACATAGACCACAATGGCTCAATAGGAATTAGACAGGACAGGAGGGTGCTATGTTATGAAGTAGTTTCCTCACATATTTTTAACGTCGAATAATAAAAATGTGAACACGTAGCTTCTGTAAACACACTCAGGCTAGCTTATTTGTTTATTTAATCCTTTTTCCTTGGCAGGCAATCTTACAGTACCTGGATTCTCTAACGGTATGTTGGATTTTACTTCACACCTATCAATTTTCTTATCTTGCGCACAGGCACTGAGGCGAGGGAGCATTTTGAAACGTAGTTGGGTGGGGGAAAAGGGGATTATCAAGATAGACCAAGCCAAACGTATACTCTAGTTCGAATTTCCAAAAATGGCTTCTACGAGACGCGAGCAAAGCGAAACTCTTTGTAATCTGAACAGGTGTTCTCGATATCAATTTTCGAGAGTGCACAAGAATCAAGATGTTCCAAACGTCCTACAATATATTTGCTATGCGTCTTTCTGATGAAGGATCAGAGAAAAGGTTACACGAATGAATATTTTGCCAAACTACTTGTTTGGGCGTGGCGGAGAGGGCAGAAGTTAGAGGCCCTTCGCCCTCCTTGCTCTGTAACCTGTGTCAGTTGTGATATGAGTGGCACTAGACTCAGCACTTAAGTGGTTGTGATGAAGTCAAAGGCTCAGTGTTTATGTAATAAAATAAATAGATAACTGCATGGACTGAACGTGAGCTACTGTGGAAATAGAATTGAAAGTTGCTGTCTGTTTTTGCTATTCCAGAATGTGGCTCAGTCGTGAATAACACACTGAAGAGTCCTGGATATCCGAACGATTATCCCATAGAATCGGAATGCAACTATTCTGTTCCGATCCCAAAAGGAATGGCAATTTTGGTCACTTTCCATTATTTTTTGTTGGAGGTTATTGACTCGTCATGCGAGTGAGTAGAAAAGACAAGTTTGTTATAAAGATTTGGCTCCTCCAAAAGTGTTCAAAGTTGCCCAAAACAGGCTGTTGTTATTTCCCTCTAGTTCTAAAAAATATAAGAAATATTTACCCTTGTATGAGGTATTTTGTGTGGGAGACGTAGTGGCCGAGTGGTTGGCACGTTGGATTTCCAGGTCAAGACACTTGTGTTTGACACGTGACTAGGTCAATGTGTTGTGTTCTTGGGCAAAGCACTTTACTATCACTGTGCCTCTCTCCCCCCCCCCCCCAGGAGTATGAATGGGTACCAGCGAACTGCCAGAGAAGGCTAACAAAATACTGGCTGGGTGGGTTGGGAAGGGGAGGGAGTGATAACATGCCACCATGAACTAGCTTCCCATAGAACACAGAACCGCACAGAACCGCAGGATAGCGGTTCTTCTGGTCGCTACATGCCACAGAAACCTAGATAGGCTATAGGCCACTGGACTCGGTTGCATACTTTTTCTTGTTATCAGGAACTTAAGGTGCTCCTTTTCCGTGCCTCTGCCCCTAAAAGAGACTACTAAGCCCATGTAAATCAGGTGGTGACATCGAAATCAGGTGGTGACCGCCACAATTGGCGGGAATGTCATAAAAAGCGAGTGACGTCCAAACCAGGCAGTATGGCTGCAGTGTATAGAAACATCTAAAATATGGGGGAGGTAGAAGAACCGCCCATGGTACAAACCGAGAAAGCTGAAATTTACCTTTTGAAAGAAGTAAAATCTCGGAGTATTCCCCATTTTCATTTCTTTTTATACCCTCAATTTGCATTTTGGAAGAATTTCTTAAGTTAACTTTGACCTCAGTTTTATGAATAGTAAGTGAAATTACCAAGTTATTATTAAAACCAAAGAAATATGAGAAAAATATGATTCTCACTGAGGAGCAATTTAAATTGATACAAAACTAAATATTTGTTTGTTAAGGTTGGCCGACTCCTTTTCGGTTACAAATGACAAAGGTCAGACGTTTGGTACGTACTGTGGGGAGTGGACTGGTAAAGAAATTCTCGTAACGGGTGACTTTGTATTAATGACGTTCATATCAGACGAGTATGGTCAGGAGAGAGGATTTGAGATATACTTCACTGCTGTTCCGTTTGGTAAGGCCTAACTTGCAACCGTTTTATGTTTTCATTGCACATGCAGTTACTAGTCTCAGTGACGTCATTATCATGTCATTATAGCATTGTGCTCTTAGGGCATCAGTTAGTATGTCAGAACGAGGCTTTTTTTCTAAGATTCTTTTAAGAGCCAGTAAACAGATTTATAAAGATCAAACTGATCTGAATGTGGTATTTTTACGAAATGTTTTGTCCTTGATTGAGGGAGGTGACTTATCAAAGAATCGTAAAATTATGTGTAGGGGTTTTCCTTCTCTCCAAGATGTTACAAATGCGTGGATGCGGGACCTTAAACAGGAGGAGGAGCCTATGACTTAACTCAGCAATGATTAAAATAATGAAAATAACATTTTTGTAATTTGGGTCAAATAATTGATTCGTTCCTATGCAGGTAACGGTACAAAGTTCTCGAGTATCAATGATACAGGTATTTTGAATTTTTCTCAATTATCAAGTTTAATCTGTATTCCTTCTTGTTTATCAAAACAAAAACCTTTCAACCCTCCGAGTTCGAATTCATCGTTCCCGTTGTTGAAACATTTTTGTGATCTCACGAGAATACTGTTTTTACCCTACAAGACTACTGCCTAAACTAATTTTGTTGTGAGTCCATGGCCCCAATGCATGAAGGGAAACGAAGAAGGAATGTAACGGCACCTTACCCTCCGGTCTCCCTTTACTCCCCACCCCATCCCAAACCTCTTGTCGTGTCGTCACAATGAACAAAAATGAGCGCTGTAGTTGTATGAAAGAGTTTTTTCAAATATTTAGAGGCGGTTTATGAATCTAATTTTTCTTTTTCTTGAATAGAGTGTGGCTCAGTGGCTAATAACTCACTGAAAAGTCCAGGGTATCCTAAAAACTATCCAAACAATGCACACTGTGTTTACGTGGTTCCAATTCCGAAAAAGACAGAGTTGATCATCTCTTTCTTTGATTTTGATATTGAGGATACTTATCCATGTGTGTAAGTAACATTAGTAGATCTTCAGTAACTCTTTTAAAGCGGAGATCATGTTAGAGAAGCATTAACTTGGTTGCCTGGCATGCCATTTCTATTATTTGTCAATGCCTTCCCTTACTTGGTCCCAGTTCTTTTCCTTAAAAAGAGGAGTGCATGGAATCATGGGGTGTAGCACACCTTCCCATCACCCTTTTCTTTCCAACTTGTGCGCTCCGGCCACGCGTCATCGAAGACTAGATACCATGGAAACAAAGAGTTTTTATTGTTTTGTTGATCATAGAAATGACTACGTTATGATCACTGATGCGAACAACAAGACGATCGGTGAATACTGTGGTAATTACAATGATCATCAGATTGTTGTGGCTGGAAATTACGTCATGATAACATTCCATTCAGACTACAGTTTTCAGCGGAGATTTTTGCTATCTTTCAGTTTTATTCCAATAGGTATGTATAATAAACATAGTCAGGCTATGAACATCTTTCTATTTGAGAAGGAGAAATAGGCGCATAAGAGCATTTTCATTTTGGTTGTTCGTACGAAAGCGTGGGATGAAAGTTAGCCTAGCTTGTGATGATACAATCAATATAACAATAGACAGCGTAGAAAAAAAAAATAGATTCTATATTGTCGTTCGTCTGTTCAGAAATAGATCACAGACGACGTCAAAATGTGCTGAGAACAAAAAAGTGGCACATGAGGCGCAGCTGAGTGTGTCACTGATGAAAAACCAATCAAAATGCGAGAATAATTAATCGAAATCCCAACTAGTCCCAAGAATGTTCCTATGGGCTCTAATACTTTTATTTGTTGTCTCGTCAGTTTTGCCAAAAGTTATGTTACGAATGTCTGTCATACGAGCACTGCCCGGATACAAGTGGTCTTGCCCTGTCATTGGAACCGCTCCTGTGTACATAGCCATTAAAATGAACTCCGTACTACTGATAAATACAACATGGACTACAAAAATAACGTTTCACCAAGACGCGAACTACTCCTGTATCGCCTCTAGCAAGTATGGTACAGATGTTAGAAACTTTACCGTGGTTTTTAACGGTAAGGCTATGTTTCATATCAACACAAGTAAGAAATAAATTATGGAGCAATTTTTTTTAATAGTGTGGGAATAGATTCGAGATTACTTAAGTTTTACTACTTTGCTTTGTGATTGGTCCAGAAAATTCGTGCCATCCTTTGAAGCAAAACTGAAAACAATGGCGACTTTATAATGGCGACGATGATCTTAACCTTTGTTCTTAAAAGTCGCTATGATAAGTTTGGTTTTGGTTTTTCGACACTCACTTGATACCAGTTTTATTTGACCTACTCATGATAAGTTATAAATAGTTACCCCCAGATTAGGTAAAAGAAAAGTAATTTAAGGTGTGTAGTAAAGCATACCCTAACGATTTTGTATGACGGCAGATATAAAGTGTTCTAAATAACTTGATTCGGTATTTTTGGCAAAAACATTCGATAATTTTCTTTTTTGTCATACCTTAAATCGTTTCCGTCGATTAGATACAATAGTTTAGTCATACCTTGCTTTGTGATAAATGTTGGAATATCTCTCTTCCCTCTCAACCAATCAGGTGCAAAGTTAAGCCAGTCACAACATGATCACACCGTTTCCCACGCTTCTGGACGCGCTCTAGGTCAATAAGTTCAGTAATGAACGAATTGTTGTCCAATCGAAATTCCTACATTTTACATGCATTCGTGAATTAATTTCAATCGGGCTTTTTTTAAAATTATTCATCAGATTGCAAACCTCAGTGCAATTATGGATGGAGGCACTTTTTCGGAAATACTCTTCTCTGCAAGAACCTATCGTCGCCATTGGATGTAATTCAGTGTGCCCCTGGAATAACTGAAAACATGTAAGAACTAGGGATTTGTAAATGCATCCTAAACATATCAGCAATCCCTTGTAACACAGAGCAATTTTCAATTTAGCGACACAAGTAGTTTTGAGACCTTCCAGCTTGACTCTTCTCTATGATTAATCTAAAAAAATTATTACCCTGCTTTCTTAACCAATACGATGAAAAACTAAAATCAAGGCGGACCTCTCACGCACTGTTTGTATGTTTTAACATTAGATCTCGTTGGTTCCATGCCTTATTTTTCTTTCACTATACCGAATGAGATGAAGGTTGACTTGCCTTTATTCAATTCACAGGAATGTGTCCTTTAGCAAATTAGCTAATGTTTCGGATGACATGTTTTCTTATCTAGAGTCTGTGCGGTTCCTGTAAGTCTTTAATCAATTTCAGTTCTTTACAAATAAAATACGTTCAATTATGTGTACATAGCTTTTTTCAATAGTTTTTTTTCCAATTTTTACTCCAAGCCTCATAAGTTATTCTTTAGGCCTTATGTGTTGGTTGGGGATTAGCTCGTGAACACGATGATAACGAAAACGATAATGATGACGACGACGATGATGATGATTATGATGATTATAATAATGATAATAATGATGATGATATCAATAATCACAAGAAATAAAAAGATGATGTTATTGAAAAGGACACTGACAATGAGGAGAACGATGACGATGACAATAACGATGACGATGTAGATGGTGAAAGTGATCAAAAGCTGAACTAAATTAGTAAAAATGGTAAAATGTTTGAATCGTTTCACAGGTATCTATCTGCAAACGACATGGAAATCCTCCCGGAAAAACTTTTCTCCCGGACGGTTCGCCTGGAAAAGCTGTGAGTAAAAATAAATTTCCTGTTATATAAAAGGATACTTTTATTTTTGGGGCCATTTGCGTCAATTAAGGAGAAATTCTAACTCATTATCTGCGTTGATTTTCAAACTTGCAGAGATTTGTCAATGAATGGTTTTGAACATCTTCCTGATAGAGTGTTTGTTAACCTGACGAAACTGAGGACTCTGTGAGCAGAATGTTGTTTCTTTTATCTCAGTGATTCTTACAATAACACTCTTTTATTTCACTTGTTTTAAAACAAAACTTGATGGCTTGATCGTATGGCTAATCGTCTTCAACGTCTCCTTCCAGAAACTTGAAGGCAAATAAAATTACTTTTCTTCCACAAAATGTGTTTTCTTCTCAGGAGAAACTACAAATACTGTGAGTTGAACACATTCTTCATTTGCGCTTTAAGGAAAAACTACCGTGGTAGATTTTGAGACGAGTTATTCGCAACAACCGCTCGGAATTTTATTTATTACACAGGGATTTGTCTTCAAATGCCATTTCGGATTTATCGACAGAATTGTTATCTCCATTAAAAAACCTGTTTGAGCTGTAAGTTAAAATGCTATTCGATTTACTTTCGATGTGTGTCAGTATAGATATTAAACGTTCTTGTCGTTTGATATACAATCCGTAAAAATTCAGACCACATTAGTTCTTTTGTTTCTTTTTTGTTTAGTAACTTGGCGTATAATAACATTCAAAACATATCTGCGGATACGTTTTCTCCTCTGGCAAGCTTGGAATATCTGTAAGTTCTGAACAAACTTTAAATGGTATTTTCAGAGTTTGCTCTTGCGCCTCCAAACTAGGGCCGTGCTTAATATATAACAATTATTCACTGAAGTGGAGGTGAATAGTGGCAGATATTTACCGACATTCAGGTGAGTAATTGTTTTAGTATGTACCACACAGAAACCAAAACAATTAGTTTATTTCTGTCGATATACCGAAAAATGTTTGGAGATCAATTTGTTGACGTGCGATGTTATCTATTCGGATGCTTGGAGTTCGAGGTGAGTAGTATTTGTTAGTCACTTCCTTACCAGCCAATCAGCGCGCGCGACAAGCAAGATTCACCTGTCTGGCATATACTGCATAATCTTACTTGTAGAAATTGTCTCTGGCAGGTTTTTGACTTCCAACGCTATTTTATCTCTACCTGCCGATGTTTTCAGCAAACTGGACAAACTATACTTTATGTGAGTGCTATGTATGTTCTTTTTATTGTGGTTGGCTGCTTTTCTTCTGTTTTGATTGGCTGTTGCGATTTTATAGGGCTATAACTTTTGATTTGACAACTTTTGATGGAGATTTACCTCGATACAAGGAAAACTGCTTCTGGGCCCATCCCCGTTTTTGTTTGTATAAGTATAATACAGAGATTAGAAAAATTTTGATGTTCCTTCCCGTACAGAGGTTTATCCATAAATGGCTTTGCCTTTCAAGCTGACGAAGTGTTAATCTTACCGCTGCATCTAGAGCAACTGTGAGTGCAAAAACTTACAAAATAGAGACGAGAAAAATGAATTAGAGTAAGTCTAAGGTTTTTATGAAAATGTATCGGACATAAATAGCTTTGAATCAAATGTTGCAATTGCCCCCATTTTGTCGCAGAGACCTGCAAGCAAACGCCATTACATTTTTACCAGAAGGTGTCTTTCATGGCCTTGAATATCTTGAATGGCTGTAAGTTAAAATTGCTCATGGTATTTCTTCAAAAAGTCCTATTTGTTATTATATTATTTCAGTTTCGATTTATTTCTCTTGCTTTGCGTGTTAGGCTCAGTCCAAACGCCGAACAGCACATGAGACGAACTACTTGAAATTTTGGTCAACCCAAACGGGTAAAGTGCGATTGTTGGGTTAAACGTCGAATTTAATTCGTGAAACCAATAAAATTCAGAGATGCAAACACCGAATCTTTCTGTCAGCGGGATTGCAAATGAAGCAATTGGTGGATTCATGAAAAGATTGACGTTTTGTCCCACAGTCAATTCTCACATGTTCTATCTGTCCGAAGAAGACCGAGAAAACGTGTAAGTGGATCCAAATTAAGTTGGAAGAACTCAACTGATTCAAATGTGGAAGTTAACATGAACTTAATGCTCTCAGTTTAGTTCGTCTCATGTAACTTCGTTTTTTGTCAAGTTCGACGTTTGGATTGGGCCACACATCGTATTTTAATTCGTGCATCGAGCGTACTCGTTTAACGCTCAGAATTTCGTCCGCGATCATGTTAGAATTCGGCGTAGATCATACCAGAATTCTGGCCGGAATCGTGCCCGACTCCCGCTGGGATTCTACCGAAAATTCCCGCCAGTATCGTTTCGAGATATTTATGAGAGCACTCCGATAATCCCACCGAGATCGTGTCCGGTACCATTGGGATCTTACTGAAAATCCCACTGAGAATGGACCGGGATACTACGGAATCATTACCGACAATGCCGACGAGATGGTGCCGGGATTCTGCTGGGATCATACCGAAAATACCAATGGAATGGTGCCTGGATTCCGCTGGGATTATAGCGAAAATCCCGACGGGACGGTGCCGAGATTCCGCTGGGATCATAGCGAAAATCCTGAGGGGGTGGTGCCGGGATTCCGCTGGGATCATACCGAAAATACTGCTGGGATACCACCAGTATCAATCCAAAAACTCAACGGGATCGTGCTGGATACCACTGGGATCGTACCGGAAGTCCTCTCTGGGATCCTGCACAGAAACGTCCGTTTGAACAACGCTCAATATCGAGTCGAACAGCTCACTTTCTAAACGTCGCATCATTGGTTTAACCCCCTCTGTAAAATTCTCTGAGTTTCTCTGAGTCGCCATTATCATTCAACCATCTACGTTTCCTTTAAGATCAATAACTTTGCTAATATATTTCTTTTTTCGTGGGCAAACAAGACGGACCTTTCAAGTTACATTCAGCAATAAACAACTCACGTCATCGCTTATAGCTCTATTTTTCCTTTTTATCTTGAATTTACAGAAGCCTTGCTAACAACAGCATTCAAAACCTCTCCGTCAATTTATTTTCTAGTCTTCGTTATTTAACAAATCTGTAAGTCTGAAAAGCAAAAGGTAAATGAAGAAGAGCCAAGCGTTTTGGTTTCATCCTTTTCTCTTACCAGTGCATGATTAAATAGCATAAGAATATTTAAATTGTGGAGACATTCACTTATAACAACATGAGCTGTTGAAAAGTCCACGAAAAATAGAAGTCTTACCGTTTTTAGTGATTGTTGGAAATAAGACTAGATTAACGATTAACATCATAAAATCTGATTATTTCCCTAAGGGTTGATGAGATTTTTTTTTCAGGTTGATGGCCTCAAACGATATTTATCACTTACCTGCTAAGTTATTCCGACGTACTGGAAGATTAATTTTACTGTGCGTTTGATCAATTTGTAAAATTAACCCTTAGATTTGAAGATAATTTTATGTTTATCATATGATCAACCACCCTCAGCTAACTATACGATATAAGGGGCACCACCTTCTCCCGTACCTTCTCCCGTACATTCTCCCGTACCGTTTGCGCTCAACAGCCGCCATTAACAAGATCGCTCTAAAGAGTATTCATAGCAACCTTGCTTGGTGATGAGCCGTGACTTGGCTGAATTCAAGGAATCTTGGAAATCAACGGTAGCTTTTAAGATAAAATATGGTCACTCTGATGAATAATTTGCTAGAATTGCCACCAAGATGGCCCAAGGATGTTTTTGGGATAATCTTCGTCATGTTTCCGGGTAATTCGCGTATAATTACTAAAATAATTCAGGCTAGATTCCCGCCTGATCTCGACGGAAAACCCAGAAAGACATAAGACCAAATAATTTAGTTTTATGAACTGAGTCGATGATGTAAATTGGCAGCCGCACAGAGTTTCCACAGCTGACGTTTTGAGCGTCCGCCCTTCTCCAGAACGGAACGTCAGCTTAAGAAATACTCTACGATGAACAATTTACATTGTCAACTCAGCTGATACGACCAAATGATCTTACATATAATGTCCTTTAGCGATACAGCATTACAGTTTCTTCAGAAACTTACCACCCTTCCGACATACGATGAAGCCAAACACAGCTTTGTTCTCTACTCTGCAAACAGCAACATTAATTATTTCATCTTTTGTAGAGATCTCTCTTCCAATAAAATTGCGGAAATACCAAGGGATTTGTTTTGTTGCACGGCTGAATTAGAGACTTTGTAAGTACTTCTGCTGACTGATTTCTTTAGTGGCGGCCTCCTTAAAATGCAGCCATATCATTCAATTCTTGTCTGCTCATCTGCTTATTTGCAGGTACCTCACGTCAAATAATATCGCCAAACTAAACTGGGATGTGTTTGCCAGCCTTTCATACTTAAGGCATTTGTGAGTTTAGTAAACAGATATTTTTGTTAATCCAAGAAAGGGACAGGGGGTGGGGAGAGACGATCTAACCAATGAGTCAGAGGTGTGGGGGCAGGTTTTCCACTATAGGCTGGTGTAAGCGTCCTACTCAGGCATTTCGCTGGAATTTATGTGGTGGGGGGTGGGGGGGGGATGGTTGGAAATCCTTTTTTTTTTATCTGTCTTATATATTACTAATTTTCCTTGACAGAGAAGGAGTCGCATCCTAACCTCTCCCTCCCCCCCCCACCTTTTGCCATTTCCATTAGCCCCCTTATGAAAATGTCCAGATTGTGGATCCTTCTTCAAACACGTAGTTGCCATTTACAGAGTTTCTCTACCAATCATAATGCACGATTTATTCATTAAATCACGCTTACAGTCCGATTAAACAATGGGTAACGATTGGTCAGGTGTATCATTTCTCTCTCCATCTGATATGCCATATGATATCCCATAAAGGCATGCAGCGCTACCGAGATGGCGGAGTAGGAAAACTGCAAAACGTTTTCCCGTTAGCTAGAGCGTATTGTTGGTAATTCGACATTTTTGTTTTCTAGAGATTTGTCTTACAACAAGATACGGAACTTACCAGAAAACTTGTTGTGTTGCACGACCTCGGTATTCCAATATTTGTAAGTAACGCACCGTAATGAGTTATTTTGCAATTTAAGTGATGTACATGTTACGTGTCATCCTCTTATCCGATCGTATTAGCTATCGACAAAAATTAATCACGCGATGGCGTAATGGTTAGCACGCTACACTCAGGGTCAAGAGGTCTGAGTTCGAGACCTGGCCAGGTCATTGTGTTGTGTTCTTGGGCAAAATACTTTACTCTCACAGCGCCTCTTTCCACCCAGGAGTGTAAATGGGTGGTGATGAATTGTCAGGGAAGCCTTATGAAATGTTGGAGGGGGGGGGTAACCTTGCGATGAATTGGTATTTCATACAAGGAAGAGTAGCTCCATCTCGGGGAGGTGGGGGTGGGGGTAAAAGGACGGGCAATTGGCTCAAATTTATTCTTTAGCTTCTAAGGCGGATTTACTGAATGAAAAGACAACCATTATTGTATAAGAGATGCTTTCATCGCGTGTGTCAGTCGTTGAAAGTTGCATACAATTTTTCATTACTGGTCCGCCTTATGGACATAATGATGATGATGCTCGTAGACAAACATTTTCTGGCAACTTTAACATTCTAAAAACTTTCCACGACGCTTTAAAACAGCTTAAGGTTTTAATTTTGATCCATTTCGTTAGGCCTGTAATTTTATTGCAAGTGGCAACTTCTTCTATGCAAAATTACCTAATTTTGTGTTCATTCAACTTCTCAGTTCCTTGCAGGATAACTCGTTAAGCTATCTATCTAACGAGACTTTCGCCAAATCTTCTTGGCTCCAATACGTGTATGTATCAAAACAGTCTTGTTCCATACATATCTTTTTACCTTATCTCGGTGCATACCCCGATATTTGATTAGAATGACTGCAGAAAGACAGAGTGTTCAAGAGAAGTTCTTTTAAATCCTATATATGCCTTTTCCTTATCCCTTAATGCCGTAAAGAAATGTTTTTAAATGGATTCTTTCCCTCATAGTATTATGGTTCATATCGTCTTCTTTTCACTAAAGATTCTTGAGCGCAAACAACTTGACGACTATACCATATCGGGCTTTCTACAATCTAATAAATGCAGAGATAATGTAAGTACGGTAGCTTAATGAATAATTTAGGAGTAGATAAGAATCCCTCAATGATCTAAAAGTCTGAGGAGCAAAAATTGTTGACTGGCCATGTTGACATGTTGGAGTAGGAATATCCTGTAATCCTTTGTCTAGTAGTGTTGAGCGCTCAAGTATAAAATGCTTTACTCCCTTATGAGTTTTCAGTTCAGTATATCTTTGTCATCGTAGAATTCTGTCAGACAACCCTATAACGACTATCGAACAAGAAGCATTTAAAACTGGATTTTTTGATCATTTCTTCCTAAGAATGTGAGTACTCCTAGTTACAAAAGTAAATATCGTCTTTCTTGTACCAAGTCCAATGTTGTTTTGATGCATTTCTTTACATGCATTAAATGTTTCAAGGAGGTGGCTACAATATTACAACCATGAAATAATAATAATAATAATAATAATAATAATAAACATCTTAGTCTCTTGAACATACTTAAGGATATATGTTACGCTGATGATGCAAAATGTCTCAAATGTTTTTTTTCCCTGGTTGTTGTGGTTTCATTTGAAACGTCTTGAAATTTGTCTCACATTAAATTTATATTCCATTTATTCTACACAGATATTTGCTGCGGACGAAGTTGAAGATGTTGAGCTTGGAGTATCTCTCTGGATTAAGTCAAGCGTCTGCTAAAATGTAATGTATCCACCTTTCGAAATGTTTTCCCCTTTTTGAGTAAAAGGCTGTCTCAAAAGCTGAAGAAAACGTTACCTTTCGTCCTTATCAGTTTTACTTTGATATATTGATCATGTTATGTTTTTACCATATCAAAAATATATATGGTACAAAAAGTTTTTGTTATTAATGATGTATTATTGTTTGCTTCACGAAATGGTCATTTCCGATGTGGATCGCAACACTTTCATAGTCTCCAGACTGAGCAAAAGTTACCGTGCATCTAATGGACAGACAAAAAAATAATGATTAGTATAGAGCCCCATGATAGAAGGTGAATACAAAATGTTGACTTGAAAAAAATATTTCTTTTTCATCCTACTCGGCGTTTAGAGTGATAAACGATAGAACGCTTGCAACCGTGCACTATTCGTCTCGCCATAATAGAAAAGCTCTCTGTTCAGTTTACCTGTAAGTTCATATGCTGGTGTTGAAATATAACAGATACGCAGTCGATAGGCAAACAAGACGTCTTCATTACTTTACTAAATATCTTTTACTCGCACAGACACACAGAAATATATAAATATCGTTTTTTAGAATTTAATCAGCGATACTGAAAATATATGTAACACTAAGTACAAGTCAAGTTTGCTTTCAGGAACTAGAAACACAAGATTTTACTTGCTATTTGAATGTCATATACTTATTTGCTTAATATTTTTTCTTCACTTTCTTTAACGTTAACATATAAGGCCACTAACCTCTTCTGCTGCTTTTACTACCACTCGCGTATTTCTCTTTAAAAAGCGTGGAATGATCAAACAAAAAACTGAACTGAAATTCTGGGAATCCAGTTGATTCTCTTCTGCTGCTTTTACTGCCACTCGCGTATTTCTCTTTAAAAAGCGTGGAATGATCAAACTAAAAACTGAACTGAAATTCTAGGAATCCAGTTGATTCTGAAGGAGAAGGCATCATGGTCGACAATATCGCAATAACTGTACAAAGGGCTTTTGGTGCTGCTTTGAAAGCGTCAGGATTTGGGCGTATTCACGTTAATACCACGAACCGGAACATTCATTTTCCTTGCCCATTAGGGACATTTTCAAATTCTTCAACTAAAGGAGAACAAGGCTGCACTCAGTGCACCCCAGGTAAAATCTGTGTACTACTTGTTCATCAGCGTATTAGCCCCATGATAGTTAAGTATTGTCCTGGACGGTATTGAGCCGAAAGGAGTGAAAGGGAAATTGTTCCTCATGATTCCACATCGTTTTCACTTTTTGACAGTTGAACTAGCCAATTTTCTCAATTAAGTGTATGACACGAACAAAGGCTGGCATTGAAAGCCATGAAATGTCACAAGGGATTTCACGAAGAAACTGCAAATTAGAATGTACCTTAAAGTTATCAACCCCGTGAAACCATATTATGAGGATAATAAAAGCATTTAGTCAACAGATACTGATGCAGTATTGCTCCAGTAATCCTTCCTACTTTATTCATGGCAGTAGCCTTATTTTTTGACTGAGAACGAAGATTGCAAATAACAATCTGGAAAGCATACAAACTCAAAACCATGACACTACAAATTATTTTCATGTCGTCGATCGTTAAAAAAAGATTTTCTGTCTCATTTTTCCCACAGGTGGTTTTTATTCAGATGTTCTCGCCCACGTTGGGATAAATTGCAAGAAATGTCCAACTGGTTCCTATGTTCCCTTTGATAAAGCTCCCGGAAAGCAAAAACAAGATTGCAAATCTTGCCCAGAAGGTAAAAGGTCTTAGGCCCTGTAATACAAAGATTCTCTTTTCTTTTATAAGCTTCCGTCCGCAATCAGCGACCAGTTGAATAAATATCTTCAACAAGTTGTAACTTATTTGGTAAGTTGTGCAGGGCAGATGTACGTTCTGCAGACTGCCGACAATGTGCTTGTGAACAAAGCGTGCAGTTGTCAGTGATACAGTGTTGCTGCTCATGACTGCGTTGTAAATTGCGCACTCGTGATAGCATATCTTCATCGTCATGTAGAAATGGTCTTTCCAACGAAAAGAAAGGATTGTCGCTCGGGATTATGAAATAATACTAACAGTGAAGTTCGATTTTCGAAGAGATGATAAAAAACTCAAGTGGTCTTTTCTTGTTCCTTAGGAACTGAAACTGACTTCTTTGCTGGTTATCGGGCTTGTAAATGTTTGGAGGGATTCTACAGAACTCACATGTTCGAAAAGTGCTTCAAATGTGGACATGGACTGGAATGTCAAAATGATTACGCTTCTCTAAAACCTGGTTATTGGTGGGATTGGCAGAATGAGTCACACATTGATCGCTACAAAGAATTCATAAAAAACCTCCAGCTATCTCGCCCAGCATTAGATAATTCTAGTGTCCAAATTCCCTATCCGCTACCGACACCTTTCAAGTGTCCAGTCGAAGGGTCATGCATGGGTGGGTTAAACTCTCAGTGTAAGAAGGGTTATGAGGGTCCTCTCTGCGCTGTCTGCAGTCCAGGATACTATAAACAGCTACAAATTTGCAAGAAGTGCCCTACAAAGAAGCTGATGATTGCACAGTTAACAATCATTGGTGCAATTTTATTGATAATCGCTTCAATCGTGGTATGGACGAGTAGGAGAAAGAAGAAGAAGATTCAAGAAAGTTCCCCAATGGACATCTTTCTGTCCAAACTTAAGATTGTTATTGGGTTCTATCAGGTCACCTACGGCCTATTGGAAGCATTCTCGTACATAAAATGGCCAGGTTCTCTGCAAGTTATTGGCAAGTATTCTGAAATACTTCAGATGAATGTCCTTCAGGTTGCACCCATTGACTGCCTGTACCCAGGCTTGTCCGTCGATGCGTTCGGAAACTTGTACGCAACGATGGCAATAAATGCAGCTCTCATTTGCGTGTCTGGTGCTATCTACGTCTTTCGGAGAGTGGTCATCTACAGGAATCCTCTTTTGGAAGAAAATGAAAAGGCATCTAAACTGTCCGAGGCAAAAAAGGCTATTTACAGGAATTTGTTTTTCTTGCTCTACGTTACATACCTAAGCACTTGTACCAAAACAGCTAATGTCATGCCACTGACTTGCCGCGAAATTTGCCGAGATGAAAAAGAAACGGGATGCGACAGTTTCCTGAAAGGTGATTACAGCATTCAGTGTCACGTTCCAAAATATGACAAAATGCTAATTGTGGCCTACATCTCTACTGCTTACGTCTTTGTCCTTCCTGTTGCTTCGTTTCTCGTCCTTTGGAGGCATAAACGGAAAATCATACAAACAGAGAGTGACGAGGAGGAAAACTCTGGCATGGAAATTATCACAGGACTGCGCTTCCTTTTCGAAAACTATAACCCTCGCACGTGGTTTTGGGAACTTATCGAGATGTCTCGGAAGGTAATCCTGACTTCCGGTCTGATACTTGTGGGGCAAGAAAGCAGGTCTTACGTTGGCTTAGCATGGGTCATGGCTGGGATGTATGGAATGCTATTTTCGTGGAACAGACCCATACAAGACAAGACCGAGAACAGAATGATGGCGACGTCTCTCGCAGTTACTGTTGTCAACTTAGGAATAGGGGCAGTGAGCAGGATTCCAGCAGAAAATTTGCCGCCAGGCTCCACTGATGCTTACGTGGAGGATGTTTTGTTCAAGATCTTGGTGCTGGGAGCAAACACTTTAGTGATTGGACAAGTTGCTGGTAAGATAAGATCGTAGCTATTCTAAGTCACTATGACTTGAGGTGGCAAAAGTCATCTTTTTTGTGCTTATGTCGTTACTTTATGGAAGAGATTCCTCTATTGTTGCTAGGCTGAACACATTTAGTTGAAAAGCGAAACAATAGTTTTCTGAATCTAAAATCATTCCCATACATCTTAATTTTTAGTTCAGTATGTCCTGCATTTGTACGGATACTTCAAGGAATGGCAAAAAAATCCACAGTGGTCCCTCTCCTGCTTCCTGGCCCTGCTCCTCCCCCTCAGTGGCCTGCAGGCGGAAGTGACCGGTATGGTTGAGACGAATGTCCTTGATAATCAGCTGCAAACAGGGCAAGAGGAGATGCCCACTCTTGTTAGTGCGGTAAAGGACAGTGGTGTCGTTGATGTTACACTCGAGGAAGGTGAACAGCAGCAAGAAACCATGTCCAGGGAAGGTGAAGAAATTGGTAAACACGAGATCGCTAAGGTGTTTTGCGATCGAGGTAGCCAGACGAGGCTGCGTTCACAATCTATCTTTAGGGACGCAGGGAATTGGAATTCACATTTCTAAATCCAAGTAAGTGGAAAACGAGCGCAAATGTTTTAAGTTAATTTTAAAAAGCCATTGTTCATTATAACTGAGCTACGCTGACAGTCTCCTTCATAGGAGAAAGCACTTTAAAGCTTTAGCATGGAGGCTACGCATACTCTTTTCTAGGAACTAGGAAAGGAGCGTCAAGGAAGACTTTTTAGTTGATTGATGTACGTCTTCATTAAACATTTTTGTGACTCGCGTCATATTAATTAATGTTCGCCTCTCCTTTTCAGATTTTCGTTATCAACGCATATATACCACCGTCAAAGGATTCTTTACAAAATAATTTAATCTTGTAGAGAATCTCTATCTAATCCAAAAAGTTAATGATAATTCTATTACTCCAAGTACTTTAGGCCTCTAACTCCCAAGATCTGATTGTTAATTCTCCTCTCTCGCTGCTACACATTTCCTTTCAAATTGGTTACGAGAATATGGTGTTAGATCATGATAATAACTTCTATCTGATAAGTTTGGGTATTCTCGTTACCTGTTTGCAAAATACTGTATAGTTATAATAGGGAGAAGTTACATGTTAATCACTTCTGAAAGTTAAAGGGTTTAAAGTTATTTAATTAAGGCAAACACAAAGTAACTGTTAGATAATCCTTAAGTAGTACATGTGATGTTATTCATATGTTATGTATGTAATGTTTCACTATCGTCAATTCGCTTAAAGGTGAATAAACGCATTGAAATCAAAATTGATTTTCTTTAAGCTCAGCTCACTGAACTACAAGTCTGCTGTCAGATGATTAACGTGGACGCTATTTTAGTCCATTAAATTTCTCATTTTTCAATATATGCGTCAGCAACAGAAATGAGATTCATGAAACAGGGAACGCATTTTCTAACAAAAATCTTGGCTATAACTGGTGTCAGCCACAAAAGTAGAACCGACGATTACTGGTTACTCTAAGTTTCGGTCATTGCTAACGTAGTACTCGTGGTCATAAGCATCATCCTAAGCAGACCCTTGCAAAAGTTTCACCAAAACTGCAGAGACCTGAAGATTTTGGCCTAAACGCACAACATTTGAGTTATATCAAGGTGAGAAAAATAAATTTTTATTTCAATCCAGCCTTTTGAATTTTCTCATCCCTTTTGGCGCAATTTTCGATCGAGTGTCGAAAATAATTCGAGATTTGCTTCGCCACGCTCTGTGATTGGTCCAGAAAACTCTCGTTCCTTTCACAACCAATCAAATACAACGCTAAACCCAATCACGACTTGTACCCTCACGTGTTCCCGCGATTTTTGCAAATTGCTTGTTTTTTCTTTGAATTCATATTGGTTCTTTGAGATAATTTCCTCTCCTCTGATTGGCCGATGTAATTACTTCGGCTTTGATTTCATTACACTCCATTACTTTTGGTAATTCTATTTCTTTCTCTCTATGCGAACGACAGAGAAAATGGCTTTAACGAATTGTAAATAGCCTGTTCCTCGTCTGGTCAGAAATGCACATGGCACAATATTCGTGTTTTCGTGTCTCAAGCGAAATTGTTAGTTAATTCTTTTGTTTCTCTTTAACATCTAAACGGGTTTAAATCCTGATAATCCAACTCCATTTCATTTTTATTACTAAGATTGCTTGCTCTAGATCTCTTTATGTTACATACCTGTTTAAACGCAACTAATTCAGTGTTTCAAATAATAAAAGGTAAGGTTGATTCAAAGGATTGCTCCTAACCTAACCTGAACTGATTAACAAGGATCTTTACGTTCAACATTCATTTAAATATATCATAAATCAATGAAAAATATGTATATTTTCGTCGTAAACAGAAATGAAAAGAAGTATATCGATAGATTCGCTGTTTTCAGTGATTCAGACAACGACTCAAATGAGAAGTTGTTCAATCAATTGATTTATGCATACGGTATTTCATTTTCGTCAAACGCTTAAACGTTAATTCATATGATCAAATTTCTTTCAACAAAGAACACAAATCAAGAAGAAAACGGCTTTGTATGGAACATGAACTCGATAGACTGGAAAAAATGTAAAATAATAAAAAAAAATGTAAAAATAATAAAAATAAAGTATAGCTAACCAGATCGTATGAAAGTGAGAGAATAATGTTATGTGAAGCGCTCGAGAAGTATTTTAGTAATGTTAAGGTATGTGTACACGAAGTATGCTGAGTTTTTGGGAAATTTCTACTCCAAGTGCAGTCTACTAAGTATATTTTGGTTGCTTTTGGCCTCGCACCAGCTGCAGGCATTGTAATTAACAACGTATGAATAAATGGCTTTAGTTTCTAAGGGAAATTGTGGTGCTGCGTCGGTGAGGGGTACAACAAGACAATTTGGTTTTATAATCCAACTACACAAGGTAGAGTTAAAATAACGCGAAAATATGTATATAGCGCATGTGTACAGTTGGTTATTGTGTACTGTAAAAAAACCTGTTTAACCGGTCGGCTGCGCACGCTGCGCTTCTCTATCCACTTTGCTTTTCCCGCCTTATGAGAAATGAGCAGAAA